AAAAAAAAAAAAAAAAAAAAAAAAAAAAAAAAAAAAAAAAAAAACAATACGAAACTCAAGAATCTCAGAACAATTCAATCATTCAACAATACTTTGGAAAACTACAACCAAAATACTCCACGAAACCTACGAGCAACAGACCTACATACATGTTACTATGCAGATTTACATTCATCATTGCAAGTGAAGAGAAGATTACATACGCAACTTGGAAAGGCGAACCGAACTAAAAGGAAAAAAGAGATACAGAGAGATAAATTCTCCAGGAAGCAACAGCGCAGCCGACAGCGGTCCAGAGGTCCAGAGAGAGAGGAGAGGAGATTTGAGCCACAGATCGAGAGAGAAGATTGATTATAAAGACGAAACAGAGAGTACGTACCGATTCAAGAGAGAAGGAGAAAGAGGTTGAAATTAATGGAAGAGGGAGAATTGGAAAGAGCAACCATGGATGAACACAGAAAATTGGAGGTGACGGGAAATCGAAGATAGTGAAAGCCAAGAGAAGAATCTGCAGACGACTTCCTTTTTTCTTTTTCCTTTTTTTTTTTTAATAAAAAGAAATTGCGTTAATTAGCTAGAGCCACATGGTGGATAGACGAAGCCGCGCTAGAGCGTGGGCCCCACTTATCCTGCACTTTCCAATTTGTCACTACTTTTTCTTTTTCTATTTTCTTTTAGTGGAAATATTCCTCTTTTATTTTCCACGTCATTTTTTCACAAAGAAAAATAAATTGATATATTTTAATCAAATCTTTTAATTTAGATTTTTAATTAATATCTATTTTGTTAAATTTTATTAGCCTCAATTTCAATATATATATATTTTTTTAATTTGTCTAAAATAAATATATGTATATATAATTTTCTCTCAAACAAAAATGTATATTTTAAAATTAACTATGAATTTCCAACCTAATTTATTTTTTTTAATTTCTTGAGTAATTAATATCCTTCAATTAAAAAAAAAAAAAAGATTTTAGGGAACCTTAGGGCTAAGGTGAG